CTTGCGCTCACCATCAGAATCGGCCATTCGCTGCAACATGCCGTTTGGAGGTGAGCAGCACGAGGAGGCATGTCATTCTATCCTGGACCTGCAAGACTCCAATATAGAGGCCTTGATAATTAGAATCGGGTTTTGGGGCCCATTATACTGTAACCATAATACGGAACCCCCAAAATAGTACAGGTAACTATTAAGGCCCCAATAAGTACCTATACTATTTTGGGGGTTCCGTATTAAAGCTATACTATCAAGGACCCCAAAACCCTATTCTAGATAATAAGGCCCCTATATCCCCTAAACCCTAAACCCAAAAAGTGTACTATAGTCGTACGAAAGAACCCCCAAAACCCTATACATTAACCCTGAACCCTAAACCTTAAACCCTAAACCCTGAACCCTAAACCCTAATTGAACTGAACCAGCTCTTTGAGCTGGAACTCACGGCCTACAGCTTGTGGCATCTCTCAGCGCCACTCCAAAGGCTCTCCCGAGTCCTTAAGACCCTTTCAAGAAAATTCGGGTTTAGGGTTTAGGGTTTAAGGTTTAGGGGGAAACTGTTGGTAAATCTGATCCTGTCAGACACCAAAATATGACCCCAAAACCTCTTGGTATCAGCACTTCTGCCTTGACCTCCAACCCAGCAGTGGCCATTGGCACTTCCTACAGGGTAGGACCCCTGGGCGGCCCGGAAGGAGCTGAGGTCATCTGGGAAGTTCACAAATAATATGCTGGAATACAATGTGATAGAAATGTAATATAATGTGTTATAATGTAATATAATGTAATATAACTAGGTTCCTTAGTGACCCCGAAACAATAAGGGCACCCTTTTTCCTATAGTTGGGTTTTAATAAGGAGATCCCAAAATAAAAAGGGCAAAAGGGTACTACTCAGGAACCCAGCAAAGTACTGGCTCCAATACTGCCCAGACTCTGTGGAACTCACTTACGGGTTTCTTGAGATTACTGGGTCGCTTCCGGAGGGTACCAACACTATTCTGGAGGATCCTTATTATGGTTATAATATACCACAACACCCTATTTTAAGTATAAAAAAGCCCTAAAAACCGAAAGCCCTAGACCTCAGTCCTTCCAGGAGTGCACGGAAGAAGCGATGTGGGCCCAAGCCACCAACAATGAGGGCGGTATTGTGCTCCCCAGAATCAGGTTCTGTGGCTCTCGGAGTTTAGGTGCCTGTCTTGAAGACGCTGTAGCGCACTTTTCGGGATCAGTGTCTGGAGAGGGTCTGCGACTTCGGCTTCAAGCCTACAAAGAGGGTTCACGGACTAAACCCGGACAAACCTCGCCCACGCCTTTGTTTAGGAGGATGGACCTTCTGTACAGGATCTGCGGAGTTTCAGAAAGAAGGACGTAGTACCCTTAATGGTAGCATCCTCATCATACGGGCCTCTCGCAAAGGACTCGTAAGTTTCTGAAACTCCATGTGGCTGGAGCCACCCTTGTGGTGCACTTCGGCAGCCAGGCGGGATCACTAAAGCTATGACGTCCTGCATGTAGGGTTTCACAAGGTTGTTGTAAGTATGATTCTAGGGGGTTCTATCAGCGGGTCTTATAAGGGCTCTATAAGGCGTATGGGGATGTTATAATTCGTTTGGGGGCCGATCCATTTTAGGATCCAGCTGTTTCCAGTCTTTGTCGGGGTCCATTTTTCTGATGCTCCCATTTCCTTTGCTTGTGACTTGAACTTGGGCAGCTGCAAGTTTTGAGTGTTAAAAAAGATGCCGTAATAATCAGAATAGGGTTTTGGGGCCCATTCTACTATAGTTACAAGTCATAATAAGGAACCCCCAAAATAGTATTGGTATGTATTGGTCTTATCAAGGCCCCTACATCAAGTTTTGAGTGTTAAGCTTCGTCGCGAGTCTCGGCCGGACATGGGTTTGATTACTATAGGGGCCCAAAAAATTACCTATACTATTTTGGGGCTCCTTATTGTAGTTATGGTATAAGTGGTCCCCAAATCCTATTGAAATAATTAAGGCCCCTACATTACGCTCAGAATTACCATCAGCACTACTATCTGACGGCTCATCCGATTCCGCACTCATCGCTTCTGAAGGCCCTGCGATCAACTTGCCGCTGCTGCAGACGGTGTCTAGTGGCAAAATCTGTCAAACACCACCACCAGCCCGAATGAACACTCAAAGCCAACCCCTACTTCACAAAATTTACACCGCGGAACCCTAAACCCCTGTAGAACCCTAAACCCTGAACCTTGTAAAGCATGGGCCCTCAGGCTCCTCGCAGCAGTTCTCGGCATTCTTCTCGCTCACCTGAACTCGCTGGGGGAACGCGGGAGTCAGCTTCGCCCCTTACAGGTTTAGGGTTTAAGGGTTTAAGGGTTTAGGGTTTAGGGGCTTAGGTCTTTCCAACTCTGCAGTGAACGGGAATTAACTACAACATAGAAAATATGACCCGAGAACCAATCTAGTTCAGGAGAGCGAGTCCGTGCCGTGTAATGAACAGCAGACGAGACCTGAGACTTGCTGTCGAGAGTTGTTGAACGTCCAACATCCCCACTCTCCACCAGCAACCCGCAATATAAATTCCACACAAGGGGCAAAGGGATAATGCCACCGTCGTCCGCAGCCGGGTCCTCGTAATACTGAGCATGCGCAAAGACTTGATTGGGCTTTGGACGTATCGGCGTGTGACTTGCATTCATGAGGCTTGTCTGTTCCGAGCCCACGCACTCGACACTAACATGCCTTTACTGGCACAGCTCGCTGCACTGCCTCGGCAAATGAAGAAGCAGCACAAAGTTGTATTTGGCACCGAACTGACCAGCTTATCACGTTTCCAACTCAACAGAGGGGTCCTGGTCCACAGCCGACGTCAGATGCAGCTGGCATGCAGGAGATATAAGGTGTGTTCGCACTGGTGAACCTATAAACGTGTAGCCGGGAAAGCACACATGCAATCATGCTTGCAGAAAACGAAAAACCAGAAAATTGCAACGTGCGCCGATGCTTCAGATCAGAAAACGCTTCCCCCAAACACGGACCGTAAACCGAAGTCTCAGAAGACTGATGCCAAGGCGTTGAGTGGTCAGAGCTTTTGATCGTGTCCCCTAGCTCCCTTTACTCCCAACCCCCCTAAACTAGAAACTCTAAACCCTAAACCTTAAAACCCTAAACCCTAAACCCTAAACCTTAAAACCCTAAACCCTAAACCCTCTAAAGCTCCTAAGCCCTAAACCCCAAACCAAACTACGGTACACTGGAAGACTGAGGTCCTCTTGTGGAGGCTGCAACGTCGCCTTCGTTGCGGCCAGGTCCACGGGTTTAGGGGTTTAGGGGTTTAGGGTTTAGGATGGTTTAGGGGTTTTAGGGTTTAGGATGGTTTAGGGGTTTAGGGTTTAGGATGGTTTAGGGGTTTAGGGTTTAGGATGGTTTAGGGG